GAGTAAAAGTACGAGGGCACAATAGGACAGAAATGACCGCGGTGCGAGGCCAAACACCACCTCGGCGGTGAGGAAAGGGTTTTAGTGGGTAAACACCTTAGCTGGAGTCCCATACACACCAGAGCGACAGACCACCAGCTCGGGGAGTGCGTAAAAGAGCATTTCCCAAACCTCACCGGAAAAAAAAAAAAAAACATTCTAATAAAGGTTCTCAAATTACCACAAAGGTAGCAACTCGGTGGACAAACCCACTTAATAATGCAAAAATCAAAAGTAGTTTTACAAATTAACTAAGCTAACATAATAATAATCAAAACTAAAAAATGAATCCTGAAATTAACCCAAAACCGGAAACTCAGTCATCAACAAAATCTATATTTGGCAAATGTATTACTATTCAAGGTAAGCTTATTTTAACTTTGAATACGATAAGGCCATAAATATCGCCTAACTAAAGTTAAGCCATTCCTTGGACTAGTTGTAGACGTCGTTAAGCTTCTGAAACCGGGCAGCTTTTAATTAGTATATTCCTGTCCAAATTAAATGAACTAAAGTTTTCAACATCGTAACGATCGGTACCTAAGAACAGAAAAAAATCGATCTTCACACCGTGCTGATAAATGAGTGAGTCACGGCTAGTCCATTTGCAATTTGCTTTAATTGGTCTGGTTCAATTCGCTCGATTCACGGCGTAAAAACTTAATCAAAACAATCGATACTTAGCTACCGAATTATTGCTTTCCGAAAAACGCACCGATTCACCACAACTTGCAGTTTCTTCCTGTTGTATATGAGGTGACGTGGCACTTTGTTGCACAAAAAATCTGAACGTGTTGTTTGGATATGATATACAGTATGCAAGACTGATGATTCTATCAGTGGCGGCTTGCATTATTTTTTGCCAATTTTTAATTTGCTTGCTTATTTAAAGTAATTTGATTTTCGAAATGTAACATCTTCGACGTAAAAAGTCAAGCGGGGCTCTTTGCGTGCAGGTGCATCTAAAACCTGTACCAGTATTAATTATTAACAATTTCCCGGGATTTTCATTTGAAACATTAAGTCCTTGAGCTCACAGTAAATTATGGTTTTATGATTCATTAGAATGTGACAATAGTGGACATAATCGAAATTGTTATTATGCACTGTATCTACGACTAATTAAAGAGTTGTTCAAAAGACCCACAGCGAAAACTTTATGTTGTAAATTTCATATTGTGCAAAGCAAGAGAAAAAAGTAATACTTTTGTTCACTATAACATCTTTTGATCCACTACACACTAGGGAATAATGTTATTTTACTCTCATTATTCGCTTGGGATTCACGAGCATTAATAACATTAACTAAACGCATTCATAATGAGTCGATTCGTGAACAGTCGCGGATAAAAATTATAATGAGTTCATACCTTGTTGGCTATTTTTCCTGGTGGTTTTCTTTTCCTTCATCCAAGGATATTCGGGGACATTTACGCCAGGAGATCCAAGCCCATGGGGTACGTCCATAGAATATCCTCCCGGCGGCGTGTGCTGGGGGCTCAAAGGAGCTCCATGGGGCGCTATTTCGCCGGACAGATGGGGCAAAGCGGTCATGAACTGCAAAACATAAAGAGGACATTCTACATAAACCCGCGTTAAAAAGTAGCTATTTAAAAGCTGTACTAATGAGTGTTTCCTAGTTTACAAAGTAGAGAAGTGCAAGCTGCTAATCGAATGTATTTCGTTACAGTCGTTTATTATGTTTTGTGATTTTACCGGTCTCTCAGCACACCTTTTGAATATCGTCATTTTCTCACAAACGTTTTATGTAGGTATTTGTTTTAGGCAGTCCGTTTTTCATTCATATTATTTTATAAAATATATATTGATATATTTTATAACTAAATGTTATAAATAGAAAGATCTTAAGGGAATAATGAAAAAATTCAATTTATCAGAAGCAGTTTGACTTGAAAGCGGTGTTAAACAAAAGTCTTGAATAATCAAAATAACTTCCGACTTATTATTAATTTTTGTGAAGGTATGATTTCACTCTAGCTTTTGTTATAGCGGAATAAACCATTTACTGGCTAGTAGTTCTCGATAAACTGTTGGTTAAAAATTTGAATTTTGATGAATTTTAGTAATAACCTATTAACTAATGTATTATCAAAGAACATTAGTAATCGTATTTCTTAGACTAAACATAGAGTAGATTGAGATGTGTATAAAACTTGAATGAAACTGGCAGGTTTTTTTCCAAACGATTCGCCAGTCATCAGTTTCAGAACACACAAGTTTCAAGAAATGGATCCAAAAACATACTGTTTCAATAAAAGTCTGGAATAATCAAAATATCTTGCCCAATTATAAGCTAGGTAATCTCTAGCGCGATCCTCTACAAAATATTTTTTATTGGTTTTTTTCTCAAAAACGCATACATTTTGACAATAATCATTTTGACGAAAATTATTCAAAGTGTTAAGAGGAATTCGAAAATTGCAAACTACAGAGATTTCTTGTCATAATTTTACACTGTATACAGGGTGGTTCAGGTGTAATATGGATAGCTTTGAAAACCAATGCATCATATTACAATAATGTCCCTATATGATTTTTGAAAATTTTCACATCGTTTCGGTTTCGATAAAGAAGGTTGAAAGATTTTTGAAAAAAAAATCTTCATAATGTGGTAGTGAATCAATTATTGTTTCAAAGTTTGATGATTATTTCATAGTACGAAAAACGCTTTCAAAATAGAGAATTCCGTCCAAATCAGATATTGGATGGTTAAAATTTAAGAAGGATCTGTCAGGTCCTTTAAAATGTTTGTATTCTGAATTTCACTACAATTGGATAAAAGCTTCTGATTCTTCTGAACTCTGAGTTTTACTATCTTTTTTATATGATGTTGGGATATTATTCTACCCTGCATGCTGCGCTTCATAAGGATGTTCAAATATTTAAACTACCTGATTCGAAAGTAATTTCAAGCGAAGTCTTTTTAACGAATTTTTCCCGAAGAAGCAATCGATCTTAAAATGTTCAAAACATTTTTTTTATCCTAGAACGCACAAATTAACAATTATAATTTGACACATGCTAAGAGTTAGCCGAAAAATACTTTCCAGTGGTCTCTATTTGGTCCTCTCATACCCTTGAATAAAAAAATGAAAACAGCTCCTTTTTTTTTTTCGTTCTTCCTGATAACATATTCCAACTGGTAAAAAACTACTTAAGACACTAATCGTTTAAACACTTCTGTACACTTTCTTGTCATTTTTATATATAAAAATTTTTATTTGGTTGGACTTGTTATTTTTGTCTTTGTATGTTATAATAGGAAAATACTCATTAATGAGTATCAGTGAGAAGTTTTCAAGTTTCGGTTTTTTTGCTGAGTTGTTGAGGCAATTTTGAAGATCGATTTTTACCACCGAAAAACACACAAATCAAAATCAAAACATTTAATTAAAAAATCCGTCTTACCAATTACCTTCGAAAAACATTGTGATGAATAGTGGAACATTTTCGAGATTGGCCTATTGTTGTGTAAAACATATTAACTTTTATTGCCGATAATTCAATTAAAAACCAATAATTACACATAAAAATACACTAAACTTGTAATCATCGACTCGTGAATGATGCGGTTAACATAAGATCTTACAAGACAAAAAGTTGGAAATGAGAAAAGCAAAATTTCTCGAAAAATTTACTCCGGTACGTCATTGTTTCTCTCATGGAACCAAAAATCATATTTCAACTAGACATGATGAATTCACACAGAAATTACCAGGTGTAGATGTTGAGAACATACTGATATAAGAACTTCCAAAAAATTCGCATTCAGCATGCATTTTACTGGATGCATGCTGAATGAATGTGAAGCCCACTTGCCAAACGTCGAAGATTAAAAAATCTATATATTTCTCATTTTATTAGTTTGGAATTTGTCGAGCACTTCATTCAAGAAAGAATAAACGAAATAATACACTCAAGTCAATAAACCGAGAAAACTTGTGCAATATTTTGTAACGAGAAGTTTCAGTCTGAATATGCTAAGAATTATTTTTAAAGAATCGTAACGAGTCCTCATTAAAGTTGTTTCGATTTCCAGATAGTGCAAATTTTTTACCATGTAAATAATACTTTCAACATCGCCGCTTTATTCTAAATAAATGTTTTAAATCTATATAGTTGAATTATTTTGCTTGTGTTTGCCCACAGTTCAGTCAATACTACCATTCCACTTTCAAAAAAGTAAAAATTAAATAACTGATAACGGGTTAAAATTCTGTACGAATGGAACTTTGAAACATACCTCCGCCATTGATGGTTGACTGTTAATGAATCCCGTTTCGCCACAACCATCCATGGGGTGACGAGTAGTGGCACCCACATTGGAGCCACTGGGGGGCATCCAGTAGGGCCCCCCAGAAGCGCCGTCAGGAGTATTCGAACGCGTTTTGACCGGTACGAAGTCGACGTCTTCCTCGAGTTGCCCCACTGTAGGCATTAGTGTGACGACGCCTGTTTCTTGGTTTAATCTGCAATGTTCAACACAACAATTACAATTGTGAAATGTTGAATGGGGAATTATGAAATGTTGAATGGGGCACAGAGCGATCGAGTCTCAGTTAAGGAGCTCAAAAGACTAGGAAACCCTTGTAGATAGTTTATCAAATTTGCTTCAACATAACCCAGCTGTAAAAAACTGTTCATTGGCAGATAGTATTAAAACATTAAAAATACCGCTAGCACAAAACTTGACTTGTATAACTTGTTTACGTTGAGTTGTTGGTAAACAAGTGGCAATTTTTAATGAAGTTGTGCACGGAATTTTTTGCTGCTTATGTAAAGCTATGCAACATTCTTATTTGCATCTGGCAGAAGCTTGAAAACAGATTCAAAGGAAAAATAAATTCAGGGGGACAAAGTATTTTTTTAAATGTTCTTTTCAAATAACTGACAAATAACTTGGAGTGTTTTTAAAACTCCATGACCGTTTTGAAAATATTAGATACTAAGAGGTTTTTAAGGATGACAAATGTGACTAGCAACTTAGTTTTAAACCAGCAAATAATTCATTTTGAATTCGCTCTCACTTTTTTTAGGATGATGCCCACTAACAACTGACTCGAATCTCTATTTTTCAATATGTTCTAAATAACAAACGTACGCGAAGCTGGAATTCTTAGGATAAACGGTTTATAAAATTTTTGTAATTAAAATATTTGGTACGTGCGATACATTTAGTCTTATTAAAAAATTACTTTTAGTTTTACACTGCACAATAATGACATAAATTGTCTATTCATGCAGAATAGAACCTCAAGCTCGTTTCTCCAATGCAACTGCAAATGACGAATTACTTGAATGCAAATTTTCCGAATAGCTGGGGAAGTCAAACACCATGGCCAGCACGAAGTCCGGATTTTTATGGATGAAAATATCTGAGAGTTTGAAGAAACGATAAATAAGTGCCCGAGACGAATTATTAATGAAAACTCAAAATTCTGTAAATACATTTTCGAGTAAACTCTATTTTTTAACTTTTGAGATCGTTTAATAAATATGTGAATAAATATTGTAAAGTTATTGATTTTGAACAGTTCATGTCAAGAGCTAATCAATTCTTTGAACAGCGTAATATTTTTATTAGGGAGTTGGGCTAAAACCAAGTTTTGAATAGTAAAATTTGTCATGCACCGAAATCCCTGAATATCGGATGGTAGTAAAATTTGTTTGGTTGAATATGAGTTGAAAATGACGGTATTTCTCTTTGCGGTGACTTTTCTTCTTAGTGAGTTGTACTAAATCTTATGATTTTAACGCCAGAAATCCACCGTTAATTTTTTTAGGATTGGCTACTTAAACTACTAATTGGCTACTTTAAACTGCGCAAACTATAAAAAGCCATTTCAAATGCACTAAAATAGTGCTTTTACAGTATATTTTAGGATTCCCTATAACGAAAAATTACTTCGCTTATTCCAACTCGTAACAACATTGCTCATCACTGGGGAAAAATTAATTTTGTACTTAATTACCTTCTCAAAGAAATTCCGAAATTGGGATGGCTTTAAAAATGATTTTGCTTTGTCTTTTGTAAAAGTCTGTTGCATTTTGAGAATTTAATTTTTTAAAATACTTAGAGAAATAATAAGCTGACCGCTAATGTTTATAAGCAATGAATGCATCAGATTTAAAAGCAATTAATCAAACTTAATGCGTTTAATTGAAGCTTGAGAAAATTTCAAGATATTATCAGGAACGAGTTACACATCATGAATGGATTAGACGAACTTTGCTCTTAAATAATGTGCAAAAGCGAGTAGTATAATCAGAATCAAGTAAAAAGTAGACTCAGTGGTACAATTTAAACAAGACATTTTTTGAAGAAGACTTATTTTAATTATTCAGGGTGATTCAGAACTCAAATTACAACGCTGAAATATTCACTGTAAGTATTTTGCTGTTCTCAAATTGCTTTTTTGTTATTTAGTAAGTTTTGTGTAAATAAATTGTTTAGAGGGATTATTTTCTATAATTTATATATATTCTTCGAACCATTGAAAATAGTTGAAATTTGAAAAATCATCATCAAATCCTGATAAGGAGCGCGAATAAATTTGGTCTTTTCAAATATTCTTAATGTTGATACAAATCACTCCAATTAATTTATTTGATAAAACACTGAATACAATTACACTGGTGTTATAATCTACATCTTCTGCTACAATCAATTGTTCAACTTCACCACTACCAAATGTTCTTTAGTTTGATTTCGGTCCTTATTACCTATTAATAAGATAACAGTTAGACATCCGCTTGTTCTTTTGATGTGGTTGTTGAAACAGGCCGCTATTATAGAGTTTTCCTCAAATAAAAATCAATCTAGAATCTTATGATTTCTGAATTGTGCAATTTGGACGCCTAGAACAATATTATTTAAGTATTATTAGGCTTTAGTGTACCTATAAAATTTCAGGGCATCAGCACTCAATTGCTAGTGATTGGTGAATCATTGAAATACAAATTTTGTCTAATGTCACGGCAAGGAAGCCGTATTTTATCAATCAAAATTGCTTTAAATTCCGCATTGTTTACTTTGAAAAAAATGGCCTGAATAAAACTCTGTCTAATGGTTGGTGTAATTTGTTTGAATTTGAGTGTAGGCATAAAAATGTGACTGCACACTGAAGAAGTTTACCAACAGGCTTACGAAAAACAATTAAATTAATTCGAAAATTATCAGTTTCCGAAAGTGATGAATCAATTAGACAAGCAAATACGCTTTTTGAACTGTTAAATCTGGATAATCACAACCTGGATGAACTTTGAAGTAATAATCAATAGAACTGTTTTACATCTTGTAGGGCCACGAAAATTAAATGAGAACGGTGGAAGTATAATATTCTGACCTTCATAAGAAGGTAGAAATGGCTGATATTCAAAGATTTGGTTGTTTTTCTGGAAGGCAGAAAAAGAAGGTTTTGTTTCTTCAGTTTAAGCTAACGCTGCAATAGTTTTTCGAGACCCAGAGTCAAATTAGCCCTGTTACAACTGACGTTAATCGAAAAAAGTACATTGTGATTGAAGATTAAGATATTTTCAAAGCATTTCAGATTTTTCAGGAGCGACATTTTAGTAAGCAAAATTATGAGAATTTTTCTAGGCATATTTGTTTAAAACAACAGCAGCCGGTTTTCAAAACTCTTTTTGTAACCTAATTTTTATTATAAGTATTACTTGCATCAATTGAAAAAGTGTTTAAATACTCTCAATAGTATATGGGGCATGTAACCGAACGTTCGATATTTTTTTATTTACTGTTGAGTGCAGATCTTTCAAGTTCTTGATTTGCCACGGCGGAATCAAAAGCACATTCATAATTTATATTGTGTTTAAAAAAATGCCGTCTTCAGCTCGCCGGCTCTACTAGTCATTTTACTTTCTTTTCTTTGCTTATCCAATTTTCCTATTCGCTTTCGATAATGTTTAAGCATGAATTTCTTCTAATCGCATTCATGCTGTTTAGCTATTTCCGGATATGAAATTGTACTTTGAAATATTCTCAGGCAACAATTAAAAGCAATAAGTTTGATTAATTGCTTTCACATCTGCTGCATTCATTGCATTCAAAGCCCAGCGATTAACTTGATCTTTACGTAAGCTACCCACTTCTGCAATGTTCAAACTTCCATAGACTTGTAACAATCCAGAACTTTAAAAAATATCTTTCCATCTGAGAATTAATTTGATACTGTAGTTGGCAAAAAATACTATTTTTATGTTAAAATGTTGATTTCTATTTGAATTTTAAATCTATTAATCTGAAATATATTAAGGCTGCAATGTTGCAAGAGCAAATTTGTAATTTTTGATATTCGCATAATATGTTGAATTACAGCTTCCTAGATATTGTTTTTGAAAGCAAGAACATCAATGTTTTACTGCGCAGACTGTAACAGGTCACTTAAAAGTAAAGTTTGCATGTTTAAGAGTATTCAATGCCTACTAAGACTCTATTAACCAACCCAAACTAAACGATTTATTAAGTAACAAATAAGGCAAAATTCTGAAAACTGCTGGAACATTACATATTTGCCTAAGTGGGAAATCGCTTAATGCGTTCTCACGTTTGAATCTCAAGTTGCTACAAATACCAACATCTTTTTAGAATACCATAATGCATCTAATTAACTATGACGGGGAAGATAAATTGCCTTTTCTTGACATCTATCAATCCTATAATTTGAGGCGATTGCCAATTAGGCATGCTTGGCCATGTTCGAATATCTAGCATTCATGAATGGTATTTTAAATGCATAATATCATAGGTACTCAAGTGAAACCTGGTAACATTAGTGTGCGATTCATTGTTTTTAGCAACAAACATTAACGTTAATTAAAATTGCAAATTCTTGCTTGTAGATTCAAAATGTGCATTAGTGCAAGCGAGCATATCAAATACATCTATTGTGTACACTAAGTTGGTCGAAATGCAGCACAATAAATTTTTAAATTGGCTTTGAATCTCAAAGCTCATTTGCCAATAGGACTTGTACTAGATTTAATAATGGTTTACATGTTTTATTGAAATTTTGAAAATTAATGGATGTGATTGATCAATTGCCGCAGGAACTTAACATGAGTTTCAGCTGTATGAACACAAAATAGAAAAATATGCAAACCATTTTTAGTTATTGAAGTTGCCAACTATAAACTGACGATACTAATTGGGTCTCTTCTGTACCAGAGAATAAAATCTTGAAAAAACTATTACGTGGGCAACAGATAAAAAACAGAAACAAATTTGCAAGGATTAATCTAGTTAGAGTAGTTGATTAACTTACTTATCTAGTGAATGGCCTGTCAAAGGTATTACGATCATCTTTATTGAAAGTTGGGCTGGTTATCAATTTAATACATGACATAAATTTAATACATGACTAGCAAATTAATAGTCTCATTATGTAATTAGTACGTAATAAGTTCCATTACCAGGCGCAAATAGTGCAAAATTATTGTGCAAGTTGCATAGACGTAGGCTTAAGAAAATACATCAATTTCTATAAATATTTGTAATTTCTCTCGCTTGTAAATACCCAGCACGCGTTCAATTCCGCAATGTCAACCACTAATTGTTTCCAATTCAAATTCACGTACCAGTTGATGATTTAGTACAGACTGAACAACTTTTAAGTTTTCTATCGACAACCTCAGTAACTATAAAAACTATTAAAAACTACTACGAAAAAAACTGCATATTAAGACTAAACATCATCTTTTGTGTCTGTGAAAAGAAAAAGTTCACTTATTAAAGTTTTTACAATTTTTATGATTTCTTTTTCATCAAAATATTAAGAAATTAACTCATATAAAATATCGTCAATGTAATTTTATTACATCACAACTTTTTCTAGCTGCTATTTTTACTTTCTGGTTTTCTAGCCTTTTCCAATATGCAAGAACAGCAAGTGACAAAATTTTATAGACGATATATCGGATGATTACGTTGTAGAAGAAAACCACAAAATATTGTGAAAAGTTTTTCTTTACTTAAAACAGTTAATTCAGCAAACAGTACACATTGACTTTTGCTATGGGGATTGCTTCAATAAATAAAAATTAATCTAATTTTTTTAACGCATCAAAATCGAAATTATCCCGAACTTGTACAATTGAAATTGTTTAAAGTGCGCCATTATTTTTTGTTCACGTTTTTT